AATTGGTTTTGGATTTAAAAGTTTGATATTTTTATGTAAAACAGGGCAACTTGTCATCAGTCAAACTTGTCATCAGTTAAAAACTGTCAAGACATAGCTCTAAGAAAATGGAATTAATATACTTGCTCTGTGTTTGGGGAATTCAACCACCTGAAACCCTATCAAAAACTGATCAAGAACCCAATCTCACTAGCAGATCTGAAAAAAACCATATTGAAACATGGTGACATTAAATAATGCTCGAATATAATGTTTCTTTTTTTCTTAATGCCGCAAAAAAAAATTTTTTTTCTAAAAGTTTGAAAAACAAAGTACTAAACATGTTTTAGTGACGTCATTACACAAAAATTTTACAAGGTATTAAAAGAATCATTAAACTGTTTATGTAAACTTATTTTTTTATGTTTATGTATGCTTTTTTTTTGAATTGAAATGTTTTCTAGTGGGAAAATTGAAATGTGTGCACTATAAAGTACAAAAATGCTTACATACACATATAAATATATAAGTGTATATGTATAAATAATTATAATAATAATATATATATATATATATATATATATATATATATATATATATATATATATATATATATATATATATATATATATATGTATATATATTTAATTATTAAATGTATTCTACGAAATGCGTGTTGAATGTTCTTAGAAGAACAGAGCAATAATGAATTTTTGATGTGTCTACAGATGCCTGATGAGTCTTTATAAATTAAACATTGTGTAAAATGAAAAAAGTTTGTTAATAGGTGATTTTCCACTAATTTATATATATATATATATATATATATATATATATATATATATATATATATATATATATATATATATATATATGTACATATATATATATATATATTTATATATATATATATACATACATATATATATATATATATATATATATATATATATATATATATATATATATATATATATATATATATATATATATATATATATATACACACATAATAAATCATTAAATATGATATCATTGATGGCATTTGATTTGTATGTTAGTTTAATTTGTATGACATTATAACACATTAACTATTTAGTTACATGTATTATGCATATGTTATTATAGGCTCATAACTTGTGTTTATCCTCTCTGTTGAAATACAGTATGAAAACATTAAAAAGGTAAGATGCTTTATGTTTTGTAAAAGTAAACAAGTTTTTTGCTAACTTTTTTCATGGTTAATATTACAATAGTAATTTGTTTATTATTATTGAATTGTTATTTTATGTCTTTTATAAGTTAAAGTCTTACTGTATTAATCAAGCTATATCTATAACTTGATTGCTTGGTAATCAATTAGTTAATCATATATAACGTTTTATCAGATTACATACGTAATGTGTTATCAGTTTACATATATAATGTGTTATCAGATTACATACATAATGTGTTATCAGTTTACATATATAATGTGTTATCAGATTACATATATAATGTGTTATCAGATTACATATATAATATGTTATCAGACTACATACATAATGTGTTATCAGATTACATATATAATGTGTTATCAGATTACATACATAATGTGTTATCAGATTACATACATAATGTGTTATCAGATTACATACGTAATGTGTTATCAGATTAGAATATATTACTTTAATACTTATCTTTATAGATAATTATATTACAAGTAATAAAGTTAAAACATGTTCTTATAAAATTGAAACATGTTCTTATAAAATTGAAGACCTTATTGCTAAAAGTACTGAAGGCACAAAATACTCATTCTGAAATAAAGGAGTTTAAAATTTCAAACTAATTTTGAAATTAGGCAAGACATGCCAATACATTTCTAATAACCGCTATATATTTGCATTATTATAATGAATAAACCTGCTTATTTTAAAGTCTTAAACCCTCATTTAGAAGATATGTGTAATTTATTTTTAGGACTTGAGTACTTTTTGTCTTATTATAAGACTTAATTACTTTTTGCACCAAAAACAAACACTATACTAATGTAATTTTTCAACATATATTATTACTAAAAAGAAATAAGTCTAATTTATGTATTCAATGTCACTTGTGTCTCCATTTATATCTATGCCATGAATATTACTATAAAAAGTAACTCCTTTTGGAAGATTGACATGTGATTTGACAAAGATTGACATGACAAATGTATATATACTCTATAAGGTTTTGTTGAAAAAATGAAAGTTGAAAGTTTTTTACCACATTTGAAAGTTTTTATGACATCAGAACATTCTTCTGCCATTGAAATTTGACTTAGTGGTATCTTGCCTCGCTCAAATTTTGCTCCTCTGACCTCACTAATTCCAGTTACTGGTTTTATCAAGGGATCATGAACTCTTCTAAAGTCAAGTACTTTAACAACTGGGGTTCCATCTTCATTCATGGTGTCTGTAAGAGGATGTTCCACATACTTGGTTTGCTGATATCTGTATTCTTTACAAGTGATACTAACTGTAAAGCTAAAATTATCCTGTCCTTCTTTCTTCTCCTTTTTTCAATGCGCCCAAAATTCTTATTACAAAGCATTTGGCTATGTCCTGGAAAGGATACTTTACTTACGCTTGTGTTATAGAGATAATCTAATTTACCAATCTTTGTAGGTAGGCAAAGGTGTAACAATTTTTATATGTGAAAAACAGCGAAAATTATAATCTTTATAGTTGTAGCTGGAGGACCAGAAATATAATGGTCCAGACATGAAATGAGTTCATTTGGGCCCTTAGCTGCAAAATGTTCAACATATAGGCACATGTGAGCAGATTCAATTACATTGTCACAAATGCACAGGTTGTAAATCTAAACTTGATGCTTATAGCACTATTGTCCAATTCCAGTTAGAGGAAGTGGTAAAGTCCAAAAAGTGTCTCAGCTTAGTTTTGCATCTTCTGTTGATTTGCAAATTAAACACATCTGTTTTTCTTATGTGAGGCTCATGTTGAAATTTCAGTTTAATTTCAAGAATCACATCATTAATAGATTTGGCTGCTTTAATTTGTGCCTGAAATTTTTCACACTTATCAAATGTGTCACTCCTTGAAAATCCAAATTTAATATTAAATTCAAAGTTAAATAAGTCATCGTAAAGTCAGTATCTATATAATATTGCCAAACTTAATAGTTTTAATAGTAGTAGTAGTAGTGTCCCTTGGAGCGTATTTGACACGAAACTCTTGGCAGCCATTGCAACCGAGGTATTGGCAAGAAGGAGTCGCAGCACTTTAAGAAAACGTGAACGAATATTTAACGTACGTAAACTTTAAACTAAGTAATGTTAAAGCATATGTTAAAACATACTGAAACAGTCATCAAGTTTTTCAGTTTAATTTTCACTTGAAAATTACATTGCATCAAGCTCTCCTTAATTTTGATCTATAACATTTTTTTCCTCAAAAAAATTATTACATTATTTTAAAAAATCTATGGCTGACTGTATGCCGGTGTAGCTCGAGTGGATAAGGCGTCGAACTTCTGATCAAGAAACTAGAGGTTCGACTTCTACCAATGGCGGTTATTTTTTAAATTTTTTATTATTATTTTAAAATACGAAATACTTTTGAAGTTTTATAAAGATTATATACAAACATACGTAATGTAACGATATTATGCACTCACAAAATAAAAGATTTTAAGAAAGCTAAAAAAAAAACATCACCGGGAAAAAAAAATTGTTGCGTATGTATGATGATTGAGAACTTATGTTATTAATGTGCTCAGGTAATTAGTCCTAATAAGCTGCGGATGGTCTGAAAAAAAAGTTGATTGAAACTTAATAAAGAAAAAACTATATTAAGTAATTAAGAAAGTCCTGCTACTCAAGAAGGTGCTGCTGTGTAGGCAAATAAAAAAGTCCGTAGCTAAAAAAAAATTTAAAACTTTCTTTTGATAATGAAAAGCTTTTTTTGCTACATTTATTTTTTTAATATAAATATATGCTGGAGCTGTTTTTCAAAACGCCTTAATATGCTTATTACGTATTTCAAGAAAAATGCAATTTAAAAAAATATATTTAAAATTATCTCTATGTTAAACGTTTTTTGAAACGAATAATTTTAATGAATTTTTTTCAGAACTCTTTGAAAATATGTATTCAATAATGTTTGTAGACATATAAACTATCTTATTTTGTAAAAAAGTCAAAAATGATATTTTTAACCTTAAGGCATTTTGAAAAATGGCTGCAGTATGAATGATAAAACGAATATGTTAAAATGATGCAAAATTTAGCTCTTAACAAAAGCCACTAAACCAAAAAAATTAAATACAATTGCTTAAAAATTTAATTATAGTGGAAATTTTTATTTTAGTGAATTTTAGAATTGTAGTTCAAAGTTTTATTATAGCACTTCAAAATTTTGGTTTTTGCAAAAAATTGCTATATAAATTATTTTTTAATTTTAATACAAACTAATTTTTTTTTTAACTTTGTTGCGCTTAATTGTCTCTATATAAACAATGTATATATAAACATATATGCTATTTGTTTATACATATATTGTTTATAAAATGTAAAAAATCCACTTATATAACGTTTTATTCATGATCATATGAAATATAAGTAAACTTATATTACATACGATTCTAATAATTCCAAGTTTTTTTTGCTTAAGCTGTTTTGTTTTTTGGTTTTTGTAGTTATGTTATTAGATTTAAAAAAATTGACAAGATTAAAAAAACACGAAATATATTGTCACTTTCAAATGGAAAATTTGAAACTTCAACTTTAAATTTGCTCCTCTCTTGATAATTTCTAAAGTTATGTCATCTGCTTCTTAGACCTTTAAAAATGATAGTCATATAAATAAGATTTTATTTCATTTTTTTATAAAAGCTTTATCTATTAAAGATATTAAAGATATATGGAATATATTTTTATGGGATATATTCTAATAAAAACAAAAGGGGCCATCCATAAAGGACGTCATCCCAATAGGGAGAGGGGGAGGGGTTCAAGATAAAAAGGACAAAAAAGAATAAGGAGAGGGGGGAGTATATCAGAAATGAATGTCACTTTATAGATTTTTTATTTTAAATAACATGAAAAAAAAAATGTAAATATGTGTTTTTAAGAAGATAATGTATAAGAATACTTTTAATTTTATTTTTCAAAGGTGTAGCAGCAGATTCAAACATCATTGAAGATCAAATAATTTTTTGGGGGGCTTAATTTGGTGGGGGGGGCAGGATTTTATGACGTCCTTTTCAAGGGGGTATAGGAAAAAAGAACAACCAGTAATAAAAAGGGGAGGGGTCAAAAATTGGCTAAAAATGATGACGTCCTTTACGGATGGTTCCAAAACTATTTATTTATTACTATTGTAATAAATACAATCTCTTATCCGTGAAAATGGTATATCTGTACCACTTTTATATATTTTAATGCATTTGTATGCAACATAATAAAAATTAATAAAAAGAATGTAAGTTAAATGCAAAAGGAAACTTGACGCAAAAAGGTTTATTTTGCCACAAACTGACGTCAATGCATAAAATCTTTTTGGCTTAACTTTTAGATTAGCGTTTAATATTATTAGTTCTTAATCGTAATCATAAGAATGAGTCTTTTTTTAATGACTATGTTTTAGTGCTCTAAAAAACTTTAAAATTTTATTTTAAATTTTAGAAATCTTTTTTGCTATATTATTTTTTTTTTGCTAAAAATATATAAGCAAGATTGAAAAAATTTCAAAACTTATTACGCTAAGAGGAGGTCTTAAACCCTCCAAAACAACACTGATGACAGCGCACTTTATCACTGAGCTATCAATGAAATGCATTTAGCAGAAAAACAAAGCTAATTATAAGTATCTTATAAGCTCTACGTATGCGGAAAAGGTGCGCATGTTTAGTTTTTTGCTCTTAAATTTTTTTTCAGAATAAATTATTTTACTAAAAAATATTGAAGTAAATAAAGAATAGGTATAGAAATTTTTGGCTAGAAATAGATATGTAAATTAATAAAGACCTGTATTTTACGAATCCGGAAAGCTAGAATATATAAGGAAAAAGTATAAAAAAGTTTGGTTTGGAATAGATATACAAAGACCCGTATTTTTACGGGGCTGATCTCAGCTTTTTTCATGTCATTATTTAATTTAATTTTGTTTCATTTTAGACATCTTGCAATGCTTTTTTAGCATTTTGCAGAACAAATAGAGGGGCCACATGGTGTTGGTTCAAATTTAGGGCAAAAGCATCCTCCACCTTTTTATATATATACATACATATGTTAAGGAGGAGAGTGAGTAGTAGATAAAAAAAAATGCTGCATCTATAATTAGTTTTTATGTGGTTGGTTATTCTACCAATTAAACTAAATATTGGTTAATCTACCAATCCTTTATTGATAATGCAAATTTAGTTGAATTTTTTTTGTAAGCATACATTTCTTTATATATTTTGTTTTATTATTATGTTTAAATAAATTGATTTCCATTTAATACATTAATACAATACAGATTATTTTTTTATTCCTTTAAAACATGCTAAAGTGGTTAAAGTGCTTCGCATAGGTTCAAATCCTTTCGTTTGCACTTAATTTTTTTAAAATCTTTTCTAATTTTCTAGAACACAAAATAAAACATTTTTAAAGGCCTATAGATATATGCATAACATATATCAAGATATTATATAATATAATAAACGAAAGGGAGAGAATTTTTTACAAAGCTTTTTAAAATTTCTAAAAACATGATTACATTGTTAAAATTGTGTTGAGCATATGTCATGGTACTTAAGTTGTTAATGTGTTTACTAATTAGTTAAGTCTGTGCATTAAAGGGACAATTTTATTTCTTATAGGAAAATATTTTACATGTCCTGTAGATTTGTAACATGATTTTTCTTTAAAATTAAAACGGCAAGAGTCCTAATAAGCTGCAGATTTGAAAAAAAAACTTGTTAAAGAAAAAATTATAGAAATTTGTTGAATTTATGAAGTATTGAACATTTATGCTTATATCAAAACAAATATTTTTATATTTATCTCTTTAAAAATTATTAAAATTAGGAGAAGTTATTTTGGTCGGTGTGAAATAGACTTACCCTGACCAGTATTGAACTGCTCATGGTAAGTCTGTTGTTCCACATATTTAAATCAACTTATATTTTTTAAAATTATTTACTATATAATTTTTTTTTTATGGCTCAAAAATCAAAACAATGAGTATAGTTTTTTTATAGTTATTTTCTTACCTCTTACTCAAATATATTGAGGTATAAATTTAGTATAGAAAAGGTCGGTTTGGAATACATTTGCAAGACCCATATTTTATGGGTCACGACAACAAAAATTAAAAATAAAGCAAGCTGATGATTTGAACTTGCCACATGGCAACTTTGAGTTTTTCAAAACAGTACGGGGGTTAAAAAAGTATGTTTTTTATAAAAACATAATTTAAAAAATTCTAATTTTATATTTAAATGAAACCATTTTATTAAACTGATTACTTTTAAAAATAATTAAAAGTTAAAGTCTAACTTTTATATTTAATATTGATATAATAAGGAAATTTTGAGTTATACAGTTATTAATTCACGCCCCCGTTAAACATACAAAACCGATTGCACAATGACAACACAATTTAGATAACCATTAAAATAGTATTATACTCTATTAATTTTGGCTTTATATACTTTTTGGCTTATCCTTTATCTAAACTTTAAAATAAGGGATCGTCCATAAATTACTCAATTGAAGAAAACAAAAATGATCTAAATTTTTCCTCGCAGAGTCGTATGTTAAATAAAAAATCCATAGAGCTCATTAAGTTTAATGAAAATCGTCATCCTAAAGAACTAAAGATCTCTTCTAATTTTTGAAAAATAAATATAGCGTTGCGTAATTTGTGGGCGATTCCATAGCGTTTTAAGTTTATCTTTTTTTTTGCTCTTAAAGTAGTTTTTCAGAACAAAATTATTTTACTTAAAAGTATTGATGTAAATAAGGAATAGGTATAGAAATAATCGGTGTGGAATAGGTATGTATAGAAATAGTAGGTTCGGTAAAGACTCATATTTTACGGATTCGAAAAGCTAGGATATATAAGGAAAAAGTATTAAAAAGTTCTGTTTGGAATAGGCTTACAAAGACCCGTGTTTTTACGGGTCCAATCTCAGCTAGTTTACAATTATTAGGTATAAGATTTTGATTTGCCTATAAAAATAGGCAAATCAAAAATAGGTGATGCATTTCTGCCACAGAGATAAATCCAAATATTTTTTGTGTTTATTTTTTGATCTCTAATTTTTTTATCAATTTTTTTATGGTTTTTGTGTTTGCCTCGGCCATTTTCAATAGCAACAATAAAGTTAAGAACTTTTTTTTTAAGTCTAGATTCCTTTAACCCATGCATAGCGAGAAATGCTGCTTTGCAAATGGAAACAGTTTAGTCCATTGCAGTGACTGAATAGAAGAAGCTGCTTCGTTCTTTGCCATTTTCTTTTCTAGGCCTTCCACGAATACTATCGACAGGGGTTACATTTATGCAACCCTGCAGTTAGACATTTTGTGCGTCATGATCTTTAAGAGCAAAAAATACAGAAAAAATCTGTCAATTTTTTTTATTTTTTGGCTTTAGATTGAATTTAGGGTAGCGTAGTGCTCTGTCCACCATTTTTTTTAAAGCTACTAACTAATTCTAAAAGCTGTTTGGCAAAAAACTAAGATAGGTGCTTTTAGCACCAAAATTGAGGACTTAAGTACTATTTGTCCATAAAATTTAATCTTTTTTTTTTGTGGCTAATCTAAAAGGGGGATATAAGTTTTTATTAATTTTATCAAAATGTGACTTAAGTATTTTAGTACATTAAGGTCTTCAATTGAAACACATTCTTATAAAATTGAAACATGTTCTTATACAGTTGAAACATGTTCTTATAAATTAAAATAAGTTTTTAATAATTTCTTGACTAAAAAATCATTACATTAGTGAAAGTTTAGTACAAAGCAATTAAGAACAAAATGTATTGGTTTATTTTAGAGTTCAACTATTGGTTTATTTTAGAGTTTAACTATTGGTTTTATTTAGAATTCAACTATTGGTTAAAGGAAAACAAGCTTACATTGTTCCAGGTTTAATGCATGCTGATGATCTTTTTATTGCCCACTATTTAGGTAGATTATTTATTAGTGTTTATGCATTATCATTCATTAATATATGTAGTGAATTTAGAGTGTGCCTATAAAATCATTAGTGTAATAATAAGCCTACAAACAGCTGTTTTTAGCCACTAGTGGTTGTTAAAACCCTCAGTAATCATGTAATATGTTTTGCATACTCTACCTATTCAAGTCTCTCTGATAGCTACCACAGAGTTTGGGAAACCTGACTACCAGCCAGTCTCAGAACCATAAAACTGAGTTTTTAAGCTGTATCCTCATTAGGAGATAATAGAATTAGTTGCCTAATCATAAAAACGGAGACAGGTGCAAAACCCATGCATTGAGTTAAGAAGCTCCAGCATCCTAAACTGGAAACAATGTGTTATAAATACATCATCGCCAGCCTAATAGACAAGCTAGATGCATTTAATGTCTGCCCAAGATGAGTATTTTTATTGAGACACCATCTCTAGCATTTACTTAACTAAGCGCCCTAAGGTAGGGGGTGTGTTAGGTTAGAGTGGTCCTCTCCTGAAGCAGGAAGTGAGGCAGGTTGTACTGGGTTACATGTTACCAGTAGCAGGATAACCTAGCCTGGCAATATATACACACACACACACACATATATATATATATATATGCATATATATATACATACATATATATATAATCATATATATATGCATATATATACATATATACATATATATATATATATATATATATATATATATATATATATATATATATATATATATATATATATATATATATATATATATATATATATATATATATATATATACAGTCGTATGACAATTTATTATGGCCACCTACATCTTTTCTAGAAACTCTAGAAAAATTGTGATTTTCCATCAGTTTTTACAATTTTATCTACCAAAGACGTATTCTAATAAAAAATCAGGTTGTGTGTTAATAAAAAATTACCATTTTATAAGTATAAATACACTTTAATAAAAAATATTCATATAATATCTTAGTTACAATCAATATTTTGTAACCCCCCCTTTTGCATCGATTACTGCCTGTACCCTTTTAGGCATGCTTTTTATGCAGTTTTCTGCCATTTCCTTCAATCTTGCATTGTGGTTCCAATGTTTTATAATACTTTCTATTAGAACCACCTTATTTGTAATATTTTCCTTGGCCACCTCCTTTTTTAATAGCTCCCAAACATTCTCTATAGGATTGAGATCCGGCAAATTTCCCGGCCAGTCCAACAAAGGAATATTTTTATCTTTCAAAAAGATTTTGATAGACTTAGCCGTATGGCATGGTGCTCCATCTTGCATGAATGTTTTGTTTTCCTCTGGACCAAACCATTCCGTCAATTGGGGTAACAATCTTTGTTCCAGGACATTTTTATACTGCACCCGGTTCATTATCCCTTGAACAATGTACAGCCTTCCCATTCCTTCCCCACAAATAACCGACCAAATCATCACCGAGGTTGGATGTTTGACGGTTTGAACAATACAGCTACTTAAATATTTCTCTCCAACCTTCCTTTTCACGTATTGTGCTATTTTTGATAAGACTTGGAATGTGCTCTCATCACTAAAGCAAACCTAAAAATATTATACGATGGTTCATTAACCACAATGCATGGATTATCTAAAAAATTTAAAGTATTATTTAATAAAATAATCTGTTATACCGTTTTCCAATTGTCTTCAGTCCAATTTCTATATATTTTTGCCTATTCTAATCGCTTCTCTATCATTTTTGGTGTTAATTTTGGCTCTTTAGCCGGACGTCTTGAGCTGTAGCCAAGATCGTGTAGACGACGCTGAACCGTTCTCTTGGACATCTTAATACCAGAGCTCTCCAACTTCTCAGTGATATCATCATTTGATGTTAGCCTATCTTCCAATACTATTTTGGTAAGAATTCTTTCACCTCATGGAGTAAGAATTCTTTTTTTACCACAGTTCCCAGTCCTTTTTGGAGTTAGGTTTTCCATGTTGACAATTTTTTGTGGATATTCTGCACTGACACTCTAGAAACATTACATCTTCTGGCGATTCCTCTTTGGGAAAAACCAGTATTTGTGAGAAGTGCTTGGATTTCACTTTTTTTTTCTAGAGATAAGTCCTTTTTTTTGCCCGTTTCTAAAAAAATAACCAATTTTAGTACGAAAATTTCTATTATTACTTAAAATAATTTTAATCACAAAATACTGAGTGAAATAAAAATATTTTTATGTTAATTTATGTAATGTAATATTCTTAAAGTAATATTAGTCGATTTGAGTACTTACTTTAATGATAACTTTGAAAAATATACCAAAACTAACAGAGAGTATTCACCACGTGCACTGTAAGAATAGCGGTCTCAAGATGGCGTCACGCAAAATGGCTGTCAAAAATGACAGTGTTTACACCAGCATAAAATTTTAAATAATTTTGTCAACGTATAACTATATTGTATGCATCCAAATAAATTAAATTATATAATTTTGAACTATAATGCCAAGAAAACAAAAGATAAGCAAGGTATGTTTAAATTTATTGGGTGGCCATAATAAATTGTCATACGACTATATATATATACATATATATATATATATATATATATATATATATATATATATATATATATATATATATATATATATATATATATATATATATATATATATATATATATATATACATATATATATATATATATATATATATATATATATATATATATATATATATATATATATATATATATATATATTTGATATTATTTCATATCTTATATTAAATAGATTTACTCCTCTGTATGACAATGTATAAAACTTCTTGCAGAGACAGAGATTCTAAACTTTTGATGCTTGATTGTAGGGTTTACATTGTGCTGTTATCTTCCATGTAATCACAGGTTGTATATTTTTAGATTTTAGTTTCTTTATTTCTTTAGAAAGTTAAGTGTCATTTTTATATTTGAGTGCATTGAAAGATTTAAGATGTTTGGCATATCTTAACTTAAATTCGCTTTCACTTATACCAAAATAAACTTTATCTTTGAATTCAGGATCTCTAATAATAATCTAAAAATAAACTTATGGTGGCTTGGTATATGTATTGTTAGAAAGGCACTGGTTATATAATGGACAAATTTTTTTTCTATGCAATTGTTATGTGCATTTATTAAAGACTTGACATTAGGCATGCAACTGCAGCTAACTTTAATATAGTTTAGATTAAAAACTTTATGAAGTCAGTGTCCTATTGAAAAGTGTAAGTCAATTCAAGCTAAGAGGTTTTTTCCAATTTTAGTTTCAACATTATTGCAAATGGGGTTTGTACCATATAGTTTTAAATTTGCTAATTTTTTTTTTTTTTATTTTTGTTTATTTGCAGTTGGTAGTTGTGTTTCAAATTTTATCCTAATATTAGCATAAAGCATAAAGCTTGTTCATATGATAGAATGGAATTAGTATACATAATCTATAACAAATTGGGTTATAGATTGTGTTTAAGATTTTTTTAAACTAATCTATAACAGTTTTAATTCATGAATAATTTTAAATGAAATGACTTTACTAATTCTTCTATCCTCATTTTTCGAAGGATTTGATCTTTTAATTTTGGTATCAATTTTTTGTGGTTAGAAGTAATAGTGCTTGTTTACAATTTGTTGTATTTATCATTAGATAATTTATACAAATTAGATGTTTTGTCTGCTTTTACTAATTTTTTATTTGACCTTTTCATATTATCTTGAAATCATTTTCATATTATCTTTTTTCATATTATCTTGAAATCTTTTTTCATATTATCTTTTTTCATATTATCTTGAAATCTTTTTTCATATTATCCTTTTTCATATTATCTTGAAATCTTTTTTCATATTATCTTTTTTCATATTATCTTAAAATCTTTTTTCATATTATCTTTTTTCATATTATCTTGAAATCTTTTTTCATATTATCTTTTTTCATATTATCTTGAAATCTTTTTTCATATTATCTTTTTTCATATTATCTTGAAATCTTTTTTCATATTATCTTTTTTCATATTATCTTAAAATCTTTTTTCATATTATCTTTTTTCATATTATCTTGAAATCTTTTTTCATATTATCTTTTTTCATATTATCTTAAAATCTTTTTATATATTTTTTTCAATTTAATAGTATTGAGCACTCACTCACAATACACAAGAGTATATGTATTATTATTATACCATAATAATACATTATCTTATTATGTATATGTGTAAGTATATATATATATATATATATATATATATATATAATATATATATATGTATATATACTGAAATACCCTGCTGCCGGATGCTTTAGTACATACATGAACTATCTTATAGTCAGCTGCCACAAAGAAATGCTGCTACATTAACTGAGGGTTTGGGCTGGGCAATCTTTTCTTTTATCTTTTTTTTTATTTTTTTCTTTTTATTTCTGCAAAAAAAAAAAAAGATAAGAGGTAAGCAAAAAAGTAAGTTGCTAATAATAATAAGATAAGCAAAATAAGTAAGTTGCATAAAGTATATACACTGCCGGTCAAAAGTTTGGGTTCACTTGCTTTATTTTTCTATTCTACATAATTTCCTTCAAAAGTTAAAGCTCCTTCTACTCAAAACTAGCGTCACATTAATTTGAAGTATTTATTTTGACATTTTGTTTATAGAGAGACTACACACCTATTTGTGTATATAGAGTGTAGGTTTATCAACATTAAAAAAAATAAATACTGTGGATATATTTTGCTGTAATAATTGGGTATATATTGCTGTAACAACTTGATATATTTTGCTGTAAAACTAACTCAATTAAATTTTTTTCCCTTTTGTTATTTATAGTTTTTTTACACAGAAAGGTAATCAAAATGTTGTTTTTGTTCAATATTGGATCATTCATAGAATAATTATTATGAACAAGGATTAACTTAAAGTACCTTGTCCTAGGTTTAAAATTTGAAGACAAATATATATTTTATGCTTTTATTAAAGAAAAATGGGTAAAAAAGCAGAAAAAAGATAATGAGATTTTTATTATTAGTTTTAAGGAAGGTTTTTAAATTCATGCTTGCAAAACTATTTGCTATAAATACATTTAAAAAAGCTATCAATGAAAGAATTTGTTTTTAATGTGCCTAAAAGATCCTTCAGTTGTTCCATTAAAAAATACTTCAAATTTTGCTGGAAAACTTTTTGGATTTACTTCTTATGATTAGGAACCACTAAAAAACCTTGTACAACATCGGAAAGTTTAACTGTTTCTCAGAATGAATTAAACGCACTTCTCAATAAATATATTTCTCACAGACTTGCCTAAATATTTCGAGCTGCACTAGTTTCTACACAAAAAATTGCTATAAAACTAATTTTTCTCAAAATACAGTCATAAGAGTGTTGTAAAGAAAACATGAAGCTGGATGTAATCAGAGTTGCTATTGTCAGGCTGTCAAGTCGTCATTTTTTTCATTTTTTTCATTTTTTTTGGGTTCTTTTTTTTTTCTTTATTTTTTTTCATTTTTTTGTTAGTTTTTGTCATTTTTTCATTTTTTTCTTGAATTTTTTACACTTTAAAGTTTTTTTTAAATGCTTAGAATTGCTGTTTTTGATATTTTTAAGTTGTTTTAGACATTATGTTACTTAGTTTTTTATTTAATTTTCAAAACTATTTTATAATAACAGTTACAATCTTTTATGTTCACATTTTAATTTTAATTATCTATTTGTATTGCTAAATTGGTGTTATTATTTTAAAAAATAAATCATTCTATAGTATAGAACTAGTAAAGTTAGTGATTTTTATATTTAGTTTTTAGTATATTTATCAATAGATTATATAGTATAATGGTTAAGTGGAATGATGTGTGGTTGGAAAAGTTAGATAAAAATCTAGTGAAAATCTAATTATGGACTGAAAAAAGAAACTCTGACTATGCTATCTGTAAACTATGCAAAAGTGATTTAAAATTCAGTTCAGTTGGTTTCCAAGCACTATATCAGCATTCTTCAAAACCTAAACATAAGTCAGTGTCTGATCTAAGATTTTCAAAAACTGCTCGTCATTTATATGTAGATTCTAACAAAAACTCGATTGGGGGAGAAAACGTTATACAATTAGAGTTCTCTATAAATGAAAAAATTTCTGCTGCAGAAGCCATGTGGCTTTTTAAAGTGGCAGATAATGATCTTGCCTTAAGACATTGTGACAACACACCAATATTGTTCTAAAGAATGTTTCCAGATAGTAAAATAAGTCAATGTTTTACTATGAGTCGGCAAAAAGCTTCATATATTTTGCAAGATGGCCTTAGGCCATTGTTGGAAAAGCGTTTATGTAATAGTATTGCGTTAAGTCAAGGTGCATTCACTTTAATGTTTGATGAAACAACTACTTCACAACAAAGAAAACAAATGGATCTTTTATTTCGTTTTTGGTCAGAAAACGAAAACCAAGTTGTTACAAAATATTTAACATCGCTGTTCTTTGGCAGAGCAACAGCAGAAGATGTCAAAACAATGCTAGCAGATTTACGTCATAATGAAAGGTTTTATTTACCATGGGATCGTCTTTTTAATATTTCAGCAGATGGTCCTAATATTAACAAAGCCATTTGGAGATTGTTAAATGCTGATCTTCATAGTAATGGTTTTAATGGCTTGTTACCATTTGTAAGTTGCACTTTGCACACAGTGCATAATGTTTTTCGAAAAGCAATTAATGTTGTCGGTGAGGATGCTGAGCAGCTTGCATTTGATTTACATAACTGGTTCAAGGTAATGATTTGTGTAATTTTATACAGTAGAATCCCATTAATTCAGACCCTGGATAAGTTGGATTTGTACTAAGTCGGACAGATTTTCAATTCCCTTTAAGCTTTCTGTACATACAAAAAGCTTAGCTTATTTGGACATTCGCTAAGTCAGACTATTTATCTATTCCCTGTGAGAGTCTAACTTAACGGGATTTTACTGCAGTTAATACTAAAAGAGAATTTTTTATTTTACCTATGAAGTTATTTTTCTTACATTATTATTATTTTTTATTCTAATAGTCTATTATACGACTAGCTAATAAAGTGTAGTGTCTCTATAATTTTTTTCTGTTTTAGAATGCACCCTGTAAAATAGAAGATTTTAAAAAATTATCAGATTGCATTTTTATTGAAGATGAAACATTGTTTCTTCGTTTTGTCAATACTAGATGGCTCACTCTTTCTTCTTCTTTTATAAAGGTTCTATTAAGGTGGGAAGACACCAAGAAATATTTTTTGGAATATATTCCAAAACAAAAGGAGTATAAAAAGACACTGACAAACATTAAGTGTTATATTCGAATTCAAAGAAGTTTAATAATAAGTAAATTTTGAAAATTATTATATTGAATCTACTATATAATTAAAATAGCAGAGTACATTAACCATATAAATATATTATTTAAAATTTTCAAAATTTACTAATTATTATTTTAATTTACAAATCAGAAATTTTTGTTTGTAAATTATTAGTTAACGAACCATTTTAATTTTAATATAATTAAATTTTCTTTTAATTTTAAATGTTAACACTTTCTCCATAACAATTTTATCTTAATTTTTGTACAGGTATCATTTGTGAAAGATGAATGGAAATTATACCAAGCAGCTAATATATCAAAAGACTGGTATATAGATTTTGATACAAAAAAACTAAAAAGAGTAGACCATTATTGGGCTAAAGTTTTTGAAAGTAACAATGAATATGGAAAAACAAAGTATGGGTATCTCAGTAAAGTTGTTAAGAGCTGTTTAACAATTCAGAATGGAAATGCCAGTGCTGAGCCAAGTTTATCTGATAACAAAAATACATTAACTCCTGAGAGAGTAAATCTAAATGATGAAACATTAATGGCTTTGAGAATATCAAAAGAATATGCAAGAAGTTGCAGAGGAGCATATAATGTTGATGCACTCTCCAAAGACTTTGTTCAAGCTGTTCAAAATGCTCATAAAATATATAAAAAAAGAAAAGCTGAAGAAGACAAAGAAAAAATAAAAAATTTTATTCATGAGCAAGAATTAATGAATAAAGAAAAAGGGCAGAAAGAAATGCTTGAAAAAGTTGAAAATCAAAATAAAAATTTAGATCAACAGGAAAAAAGTCTAAAGAATGATGAAAAAAATGCAGATCTTGAGTTTCAGCTTGCTCAGAGAATGCTCGATGAGGCAGCAAAATCCATGCAAAGTGCCATTATTAAGGAAGACATGATGGGTATAAAAATTGCCCATGAAATGGTAAACAGCGCAAAAAGAAGTCTTGAAAATGCTACATCTCATAGAAATGAACAGAAAAAGTTGAGAGAAAATATTGGTTTAAAACGTAAAAGTGAAATGGATAGATTAATTAAGCGTTGCAAAAAGTTAAAGTAGTCGTTAAAAGTTTGAAAGTTTTTGTAAATATAATAGAGCTTGAACTGTTAGTTCAGTTATAATTATTTAGCAAAATTTATTTATTTATGTTAATTATTTTAGACTTTAGAAAAAACGTTTTATTCTGTGTTAAGCAACAAAAAGATGTTGAGGTTTTCATTTTTAAAAGAAATTAATGATGGCGGATGATTTTGTTTGTTATTTTGTTTGTTATTTTCAAAATAAAATTATTGAACTTTTCATTTTTATGATGAAATCAGTCATTTTTTGTCATTTTTTGTCATTTTTATTCTCAAAATACCGTCATTTTTTGTCATTTTTTTCGAAAGTTGCTGCTTGACAGCCTGTATTGTTCAGGAAAATGCTGAATTACAAAGACAAATTCATCCATGTTCAAAGTAAAAGTAAAAGATATTGTACTAGAACTGTTACCGATATTTGCCAAGAAGTTAATTCCATGCAAGAAACACCAGCATCTGTTTTAACTGTAAAACAGTGTCTTAGCAATTACAGTTTGAAAGAAAGCATTGCTACCGAAAAGCTGTTGCTATGCAAGCTAAATAAAGTTAAATGATTGAGATGGGCAAAAAAAACATAAATATTGGGAAATGTAACAATGGTCGCTAGTCTTGTTTACTGATCAAATTTCAAAATTTTCTGAGGAAATCATTGCTCGCAGTTTATTTGGTAAACATGTAATAAAACAATGTGTGATCCCAAATGTCAATCATGGTGGAGGGTCAGTCATGGTCTGATGATGCTTTGCTGGAAAAAAGTTGGTGATCTTTTGTGAATTGAGGGTACCATGGATAAAGATAGTTTCAAAAAATTCTGAAATATTTTTTAAAATATCATCTCATTCTTTCATCTTCTTGAAAGAATGATTATTTTTTTGAAAACGAGTAATTGTAAGTTATTAGAAAAAATCTTTTTTTTTTTTTAAAGAGAAAATACACTGCATGATATTTAAAACAATCTCCTATTTTGCTGAAAATATGATTATTTTATTATAAACAGTATAAATAAATACCTATGATGAGAAAAATCATATTTATTTGGTATTGAATTTATCAAGTGAACCCAAACTTTTGACCGGTAGTGTATGCTTTAGTAGACATATATGTGTATTTGTGTGTGTGCTTGTGGATAAAAGTTAATTATTCTTAAATATAGATCTTCCAGTGCTTGGCTGTGAACCAGACATAGTGCAAATGTATTCTATGAAATCTGGTGTTAGAAGAATTTTAGAAAGCTGTAACATCAGTATATCTCCTGGTGCTTTCGATGTTTGCTCAATAGATCAGGTTGAAACTTATTTTTAATATCTGTTTTATAAGTTTGTTTTATAAGTTTTATAAGTTTGCTCAATAAGTTTATAATATATATAAAGTATAATATAAAGTGTATAAGTTTTATAAGTATAATATAAGTGTATAAGTTTTATAAGTTTGCTCAATAAACCAGGTTAAAACTTATTTTCAATATTTGCTTTATGGGTTAGTTTTTTGTTGTGCTGATAAGGCATGCAAAATTATTATTTTATATTGGCTGCTTTTTTAACATAAATTAACACAATTGCATTTTAACCTGTCTCATTTTATGCTGACCTAATAACTCATGCAGAAAAAATTAAATTAAATCTGACTATAGGGTAAATTTAATTTCAATATCTGTTTTTTTAATATCTTTTAATTAGTTTCTTGATTCGCTTGTAAGGTGAAAATGAAAATGAAAGATTATGACTACCTGACTTTTTTCATGGTTGATGAACCCAAAAATGTAGAAAAGATAACCCAATTTAAAACTTTTGAGTTTTAAAATAAACTAGGTGATTTTCTGTTCAGTTGCGATGGTTTTTGCTTTCACTAACTCCAGATGTCCAGCTCTCAAAAGTTCAAATAAAATTTTCCAATAAAAGGGAAATGTTAGAAAACTGACAACTTAAAAGCTACTTAATATTCTTCTTTTGAGTTTTGATGTTTAGAGGATGTTGACAGTGATTTGCCAAAAAAAATGATATTTATTCTTTCATCATTAAGTTTTAAAATTTATTTCATCAATTTACAAAGTGTAAATTGATGAAATTATTAAAAATTATTAAAAATTTGTTTCACAGTAGCTCTTCACCAGTAAAATAAACAAACATAATCGTGCTGATTAACTTTTGACAGTATTTGAAAATTGCATAGATTACTTCATATATCCTTAGTAAGTTTTATCTCTGTGTCTCATTATCTAATTCTTCATTTGAAGTTAACTTCATTGTGGAAATATTTTTTTGATTTTATGTTGATTTTATAAAAAACTGCTAAAAAAAAATTAAAACATTTTTATCATCTATAAAAATCTTAACCAAGTCAGTTGAAAGTTTTTCATTCTGCAGCTGAAAATAGCTTTAAATATAGCAAAAATAGAACTATCTTCCAAACATTATTTTAGTGGATTGGCAATGAGTTTTAAAGCTTTGCTCATTCATTGAACCATTAGAGGCAGCTGCTATAAATGGCAAGTCAATAACTTTCCAACATGTTAATAGTGGCTAGTTGATGACTAGCCATATTTGGCGGCTGCTACTAATGGCCTATTATGTAAACAATGAGCAAAACTACAGTGGTCCACTCAAAATGCCTATATAGGTCCACTGAAATTCCTGTATAGAATGTTTGCAGGGTTGACTGCAAAAAATCTCATTGTGATTACTGTTAAATGTCTTTTTCAGCTTTGTTATGGAATTATATATCTGTTATGGAATAATTGGATTTCATTACTTAGGATTTCATCCTAACTATCATTAATTTAGTCATTTGCATAATGCTTTAAATAAACATATTTATGATTTTTATAGTTTTTCTGGTTTATTTACAATAAATTACTGTTAACTGTTTGATGTTACTGAGAAGCTGAATTTAGGAATAAAACTCAATTATATAGTGTTAAAAAAAGTTTTTTTTCTGGCTTAGAATGAAATTTTGCAATTTTAGGCAAATTTATCAAAAAATCTGAACAGATATTCTATATATAATATTTTACAGGAAAGTTCATTTAACAAGTTTTTATTCATATTATTCGTATATTTATTAGATATTTATATTTCAACACATGTATTTTCGAATCCAATTATTCAAATTGAATAGCCATTGTTCCTAAAAAAGTATTATTACACTACAGTGTAAAAATGTTTTCTATATGCTTTTCAATGCAACAAATCATTGCAGACTGCTTGAAGATGGTAGCTTTCTTGATTTATTAAAATTCAATTTAGATTTATTAAATGTCAATGTTATTTGTGTCTTTGTGATAGTAGAGCAACCTTAGAATGCTGCAAAAGAAAGAACTGCAGCAGCAAACAAAATTTAAAGGTAGAACATGGAACATGCTATGGAAGCCACTTATTGATCCAAATATTGTGGTCACGCCATAATTAAGTTAGACTTGACAAAGCAAACTGTGAAGGCTCTCAATCGAGGTTCACTTGCTTTTATTATATTTATTATATTTAAGTTATTTTCAAAGTTATCTTCCATCAAAATTAAAGGTGAGATTTTTGTTGGGTCTCTAAATCAAAAAGTACTTAAATCAATGAATTTTATGACCAGCTAATTAGTTAGAGAAAGACATTGGTTCAACAAAGTTGTCAATAGGTTTCAAAGCAACCACAGAGCTAAAAATTACAGGCAATTAGTGATAATTCTAGTTATAATTTTTCACACTATGGGATGCAGAATGTCTCTTTATATGCTGGACGCTTTCCTGAACAAAATCACAGAGGATACTCTAATTATATATATATATATATATATATATATATATATATATATATATATATATATATATATATATATATATATATATATATATATATATATATATATATATATATATATATATATATATATATATATATATATATATATATATATATATATATATATATATTATTAATTAAAAACTTGTAAAAATGCAATTTTTTTTATATATATGTATATATATATATAAAATGTGTATAATATATATGTATATATATATATACATATTTTATATATATATATATATATATAAAATATGTATAATATATATGTATATATATATATATATATTTGATCTAATATATATATATATATATTAGATCAAAATTGCAATGTCAAATTATGTGTTTTAAGAACAGCTCAATTAACTTTACTTTTTAACAGGTCCCTAATATTTAAAAAATAACAGTTTTTCAAAAGTATGTCATGTTGGGTCTTAAAAGTAGCAAAATTATATATGAAAAATTAAAAAAAAATGATCATTTCATACTACAATTATTATTTTAGATTTAATTGCATAAAAACTATGGTTTTTTAACTAGAAATAAAAAAAATTGCATTTTTACAAGTTTTTAATTAAAAACAAATTTTTCAATTCATTTTTTTACAAAACAATTACTATTTTTGAAGTTTATATATTATTTTGGTTCTTTTGAGTACCAGGTTGACCTACTTTTATAGAATTTTTTTTTTATAGAATTATTATTTGAACCCTGTATTTACTATAACCATAGTTATGTACATTTACAAAAATCAATCTGCTGTAACTATAGTATTATGTTTTTTTAGTTACATGTTACTTTAGCGATGTTAGTAACAAAACATATACATATCTCTCGTTGGTTGTTCAAAATGAATGATCATTTTGATGGCAGAGGGACTGGTAAGTAAATTATTTTTTTAATAAAAGTACTGTTAAGTGAATTTTGATGACAGAAATACCAGTAAATAAATTGTTTGATTGCAAAAGCACTGGTAAGTAAATTACTTTAATTATAAATATAGAACTTAAAGTTTTTATGTCCCTTGAACCACTTGAAGTGTCAATATAAGAATATATTATAATATAATATCTTATATATATAATATAATATCTTACAATTAACTTTGTGTCATTATTATTTAGTTTTGCGTTGCAAGCTAATATAAACAATTTATATTTATAGTTTATTTTTATTTCTTGTTCATAACTCTTACTTTTATTTACTTTTCTTTATACATAATTTTTTCATTATCGTTTTTTTTTAATTTTTATTTATAATTCATTCATTTTATATATAATTTTTTTTATATATAATTTTTTCATTAGTATTTTTATATATAATTTTTTCATCACAGTATTGCGATAGTTGTTTGCATTAAGTAACTGAGTTTTGTTAGAGTTAAAATTCACAAGCCACTGCAAGTCTCAATCTATTACAGAAGTGAGACTCAAGATTGGCTGCTTGTTCTAAGCCATTATCTTTTTGATCGCTTTTAGTTTATTTATCATTTTTTAGTTTATTTAAGAATAAATCATAGCTGTGTACATAATTTTTATATAAATTAAGGAATTTTTATATAAAATAAATAGTTTAAGTTTTATGATTAATTTGCTTCTTTCAACCTTTTCTTACTTTTGTCTCTTTCTTGTAGCCAACCTTGTTAAGTCTATGAAATGACTTATATTACATTATTTACATATTCTAATAATTCTAAAGAAAAAAACAACAACAAAAAGACAAAAAAGTTCTTCATCAATTACTATGCAAAGGACTTGATCAAAAACATGATATTGACAACCAATGAAACATCTTCCATCTTGTGTTTATAACTTAGTTTCTCTCTTAGTTTAACAGCTTCTTTTATAGTTGATCTGAAGACTGTGTACCAGACTGTCTTTATAGTTGATCTGAACCAGACTGTGTCTTTCTTGGAAACTATATATCAAATCCTTGCAAATTTAGCATCTGCTAAGGTTGCATTTTTTTTTATCATTCTCACCACTTTCTTAGTCCGGACTCTATTCTTTGTTTTTTACCCAACAAACATTGTTTTGTGGAATTGCAGCGGATCTATATTTATTATTACTATTATTAAGGCAACTTTGATCCTATATAGATCTACTGCAATTTTGAGCCAAATGTGTGTGTGTGTGTGTGTGTGTATGTGTGTGTGTGTGTGTGTGTGTGTGTGTGTGTGTGTGTGTGTGTGTGTGTGTGTGTGTGTGTGTGTGTGTGTGTGTGTGTGTGTGTGTGTGTGTGTAGATGTATATATAGAGGGTGATTCAAAAAATAACATTTTTGAAAAATATTTGCTGACACCTGCTCAATATGTTCAATGTAATAAAATAACATTAAATTAAAAAAAATTTAAATGAAAAATATTTTTAGGGGTTAAGGGACCCTCAAACATAGAACGGGTCCTTAATGTTATAGAAAAAAAAGTCTTCCAAAAGTATGTTGTTTTGGGTCTCAAATAAAACAAAATAGAATCAAATTTTTTAAAATAATCATCATTTAAAAATTTCATTGTTAACATTTCTTACATTTTGAGAGAATTTTTGTGTACTATTTGGATACTAATATTTTCACAAATTATGATCCATTATATGTTGTAGACTTGTAAATATTTTTGTTTCCAAATTTCAAATGAATAACATAATTCAAATCATCAAGTTTGTAATTTTTTAAAATAACAAGAAAATATTAATTCTATTTTAATTTTTAGCGTATTGTGATGTCTTACTTCATTTAACGTGTTACCAGCAAGTTTTAAAAGAACAAGAAAAGTATGGTGAAAATTGGAGTAACCAATGGGCTTATGAAGACTCTTATAATAAGGTCTCTATAAGAGTTGATAATTTGTAAAAAATAATGATAATTAAATGCTTTATTTTTTTTTAATAGTAACATATTTTTTTAAAATAGGTTCTTAAAGAAATACCAAGTATTTTGAAAACAGCTGTCCCTGTTGATAAAAGTGTTTATGCAACATGGAAAGATTTTATTGAGACTTTTCTAGTGCAAGGTTGATTAAAACTTTTGAAAACTTGTAATATAATATTATAAATGAGTAATCCATTGTTTTAAAAAAGGAAATTTAAAAGAAAAATAATATATTATTTATTTATCACTTATCTTATTTTTTTATGTATTATTTATTTACCAATTATTTATTTCATTTTTATATCATTTATTTATATATTATTTGTTTATCAAATATTAAAAAATAATTTTGTTTAACTTAATTTTTTCAATTTAATAAAAAGGTATTAAAATTAATTTGTTAACTTCTTTTAAAATACATGTGGTACATTCCATTTTCTTTTCTTTTTTTTTTTGTTGTTGTCGTTCCCTTACGAAAAATTCCCATGAAAAAAAAACCCATGGAAAAACCATGGTTATTTGGAACACGTTTTCATGGGAAACCCATAAGTTTTCCATGGGAAATCCATGAGTTACTATGGGATCTTCATGAGTTTTCAATGAAAACCCGTGAGTTTTCCATAGAAAATCCACGAGCTTCCTATGGGAAACCCATGAGTTTTCAATGAAAACCCATGAGTTTTCCATGGAAAACCTTTGAGTTTCTCATGAAAAACTCCATGAGTTTTTCATGGAAGAGTGTTCCAAATACCATGGATATTCAATGAAATTTCCATCCATGGAAAAAACCATGGAATTTCCATAGGTATTAGGAACACCTTTTCAAGGAAAACTCATGGATTTTTCATGGTAAAAAAGCATGATTTGTTTTCAAGTTTTTTTGATCTAATGTTATTTTAATTCTCATATTAAATCATAAAAGTAAATTTTATCACACTAATATTATTGAGTTCTCTTAATCTATGAGATTGCTTTCTCCGAATAAAATCAATAAACAAAATAAAATTTTAATCTTGTTAAATCCTACAAATTTTTGAAAAATAATAGCTATAATGCATCTAAAACATCAAAACTTGACTTTCCCACAATATTTAACGCATGCATATGTATAACATACTGAAAATAAATAAAACAAAAAATTACAAGTAATATAATACTGTAAGTGATATACATAGTGATAAACAATTGAAATATATCAAGAAAACTTTTTTTACAGAAAATAAAACAATTTACATTTTAGATTATTATTTTATATTAACTATTTAATAAAAATATTATATATAAATTTGATAATAACTTAAAGTTTTAACGTTAAAGTTAAAAAGAACCATCAATACAACATATTCAATCCAAAAAAAACATCAAGCCCATTTATAAGTGCAACTGCATTGTGTCTGTAGAAACAGGTTGATGTCAAACAAAGTACCATTCACATTTTGATATTCATTATTTTTTCACCGTAGTTAGTCTCATTCTCCATTTCACCAATCTAGACAATACATCATACAATTATTATATACATTCTAACTAGTTTTCTTTATTTACTGATTCATTTTACTAATAATTTTTATCTATTAAAACTTACTTTATAATTAGGCATTATACACAATTATGAATGTTGCCAAATGTTAGGTAACATTTATATAGAAAAAAGTAGCAATCAATATATCATTATTTATAAATAACAATTATTAGATTATTACCTCTTTTTTGCCTAAGCTATCTGCATTATGTACAACATCGTTTATACTTCCAGTCAAACATTCCTGCCTATAATGTAACTTAATTAAAATGATTTATTCAAACTAATACATATATAAATGTTACCTGCATGTTAGAAACATTTATATAGAACAAGGCAGCAACAAATATTATATTAAATATTTATTTTTGTAATTAAAAAAAAAAACTTACTTCTTCTTCTGAGCTATCTGCATGATATACAACATCATTTACAAACCTGTTTTTTTCATGTCCTTACCATCTTTAAATATATTATAAAGCACTGGACTTGTTAATAAACGGCTAAATAAATAAATTAAAAATTTATATTGCAAGTCAAACCTGCCTGCTAATAATGTAGTAATTTAAATGAAATGATAAGCTTAAAAATGAAAAGATTATACACATATATAAATTTTACCTGCATGTTATTAACATTTATATAGAACAAGACAGCAACAAATTTAGTATAACTTATAAATTGTAATTTTAAGTAAAAACTTACTTCTTTGTCTGAGCTGTCTGCATGATATACAACGTTATTTATATTGTCAGTCAAATTTACCTGCTTATAATGCAGTAATTTAAATAAAATGATAAAGTTAAAATAAAAGAACTTATGCACACACCATTAAATTCAAAAATTTATTGTATTTTTACTTTACTATTTAAAACATAACAAATTTATTAAATATGTAATTTATAAAGTATAGTAATGTAAAGGCATAATAAATATCAAAGTGTGTGCATAAATTAATTTATTTTAACTAAAGACGAGCACTTTACATTAGTTAAATATAAACAAATAAAAATAATTGTATTTTGATAAATAATAGTGTACTATTTATAAGCATTGCTTTTATATGCTTATATTTAACTATGAAGTAAAATCTTGTGCATTTATTAAGTTCCTTTTCTGATATTTTTAAAACATTACCACAGTTTTCCTTCTCCAACTAAGTGGTTCTTGGAACATTCTTACAAGTTGAATCCCAGAGATTATGTTTATATCTTTTCTGGTTAATTTTAACTCAATTCACTATTTTATTTTGACAGCTTTTGAACTATTTAAAAAAATATTAAATGCATATAAAAACTGACGATGTTATAAACAATATAAACGATAAACAACATTATTTATATTGCCAGTCAAACCTGTCAGCTTATAATGTAGTTATTTGAATAAAAAAATAAAGTAAATATAAAAAAAATTATAAACAATATTTATATTACATTATTTACATATTCTAATAATTCTAAAGAAAAAAATAACAACAAAAAGACAAAAACAACTTAACAGAACTAAAACTGAATAGAACATTTATCATAAAAAAACCTTTTTTAATACTTAATGAACATTTACCATACAATTAACTTCAAGCATTTTTATGTAATCTGAGGATATTATTAAAAAAAAAATAAAAAAGGTTATACTAGTTATCTTTTGTACATTAGTTATCTAATCTTATTATCTTATCTTATCTTAGTTATCTAATCTTATCTGATATACTGCTTATATATTAATATTTTAGATAAGTTTGTTTAATATGTTAGATAAGTTTTATAATAATAACTATATTAGTTTTAATGTACTTTAGATTACACTATGACCATTAATACACTAGTTATTTAATGTAGATTAAAACTAAACGTTTATTTGTTGTAAACCAAATAATAATTATTTGGCAAATAATTTGCCAAGTAACCATTAAAATTCAAACTGGTTTACTTGACATACTTGCTATACAATTCAATTTATGCAAAGCTACTGGAAACAGTTAAAATAAGTATATCCATAAATGATATAAAATTAAATATAATTAAAAATAATCCATTTTATAATTTATTATAATATGATAAATATATCTAGTTGCTTATGTCTGTATGTTTAGTTTGAATCATATAAATGTGATGCATTATAACAAACATATCATTTATAGTCTTATTAAACACAGAAAAACAGAAGAATGCGGTAAGTATTGTTTACTCAAGTTAAAAGTAATCGTAACTGTACGAGCTATGACGCCATCTTTAAAAGCGCATTCGTAACAACCATGGCGCAGCATAAGCTATGAAAAAAAAAAACCATGGAAATTCCATGGGATTTCAATTTTCATGAAATTCACCCATGGAAATTCCAGTTTTTTATGGGAAAACCATGGTTTACTCATGGAATTCCATGGGTTTTCCATGGAATATTTCCGTAAGGGTTGCTGTGTTTATCTCTGTTTGGTTAAGGGAGTCATTACAGTCAATGAGGTTTACTAGACTTTTTCTTTTCATTTTGGTCTCTTTTTGGTTTTATTTTGATCTCATTTTTTTTTGGTTTTATTTTGGTCTCATTTTGCATCTCTTTATTCTTTAGCAGTGTTTAAAAAAGTTAAAAATGAAAATTTTTTTAATACTGTTTTCTTAGCAGTGTTAAAAAAAAAATGATTTGGTTGTGATTTTATAGAAACTAATTTTACTATTATAAGCATCAGCTCTTGAAACAGGCTGTTGGTGAGCTTTTTGAAACAAAATTATGAATTATTGTTATCTTGTTTTAAATAAAATAGTAAACAATTAAGTTTATGTTTTTCTTCTGATAAATGAAGTAATAAAACTTATGTTTTTTTCTGTTTAATGAAAATTGTTTATATAAAATAAGTTATAAATTTAGAAAACTCCAAAAATAATTAAAATTTAAATTCATTAAAAAATATTTACTTTTAGTAATAATTTATACTAGGTGGTGTTATTGAGGCATACCCTCCATCGCAAAGTATAACAGGTATTACAGCTAATGTTTTGATTGAGCCAGATGGTACAATACTTATGCTCTCTGTAGCTGACCAGGTACATCAATTAATTTTTAAATATATATATATATATATATATATATATAAATTTTTATATATATATATTATATATATTATATACAAATATATAAATATTTATATATATAAATATATATATATAAATATATATATATAAATATATATATATATATATATATATATATATATATATATATATATATATATATATATATATATATATATATATATATATATATATATATATATACATATATATATATGTATATATATACATACATATATATATATATATATATATATATATATATACATATATATATATATATATATATATATATATATATATATATATATATATATATATATATATCCTTATAGTGTAGTCGAAAGAGTCGTTTAATGTAAAAAAAGTCTCTTTCGACTACAATTTTAAATACCTCGTCTCTTAAGCTGTTTTTGGTTGTCGTCGAAATGTCAAAGCAATTAAATTTATGCGGAAGTACATTAAATTTTATTGTTTTTTTAAAAAACCGCAATTATAAGGACTAGAAAATTTTTTTATTAGTGGTGTTTTTGTTTTTGTTTTATTAAAAAACATTTTTAAAACATGCGTAAATGTTGATACATCGACTTTCTTATAGCCTGACTCGCAATGGAGTGCTGCTACATTAACTGACAAAGAGCCTGACTTGCAACGGAGTGCTGCTACATCGACTGACAAATAGCCTGACTCGCAAGGGAGTGCTGCTGCAACGACTGACAAATAGCCTGACTTGCAAGGGAGTGCTGCTACATCAACTGAGGGTTTGGTTTGGGCAGGCAGTCTATCATTTAAAAAAAAAAAAAAAAAATTAATTTTTCAAACTTTTTCTGTTCTGGTTTATTAACGTGCTCTTTAAAACTACAGTTTATGGGAAACTCTTTTTCACTACCATGCAAGAGTATATATATATATATATATATATATATATATATATATATATATATATATATATATATATATATATATATATATATATATATATATATATATATATATATATATATATACATATATACACATATAAAGAAATAAAGAAAGATAACTTAATTTTTTTCAGTTTCACTCCTGTTCTTCATTAAAATGTTATGGTTATACATTTCCACAATCTTCTATTGATCATAATGCAATCAAAGAAGCTACACACAAGGTTGGTGAAGCATGCAAGTTAAAAGGCATTATTGGATACATCTCTATAGATTTTGTAACATTTCTGAATAATGCTGTAAGTTGTTCTATTTATATTAAATAAATTATATATAAGTGAAATGTATATATTTTGTATATCTCGACGTCAGAAAAAATGGTATTGGGTCATGTCATTTTACAATTGGTAACATCTTTTGTTATGTACAACAAACAACATATTTTGCTGCTTTGTAGAATCTGGTTTTTTATTGTCTTTGTATCTTGGTTGAAGAAAGAATAGTTGATAAATGCTGATGTAAATATTGTTATATATGTTATAAAAATAGCATAAACTGCATTTTTTTTTTGCCAGGGTACCAATTTAAAACAAATATTTATACTTCTAGAGCCTCAAATATTTTTTAAGTAACAATATCTATCAAAGTAATATTAACTCTGTACTGCACACTAAATAAGTACACTATATTTCCCTTAAATAAATGTATGTCAAGTGTTAATAAACCAACCTCTCAACATTGTTTTGTTTTACTTATACATTAAAACATCGCTTTATTTAAACAAATTTTAACTGCAACAGTTTCAAGCATTTAACAAAGTCATAAAACTTTGGTTTATGGAAAATTTTAATATTTTACTTATAGTAATCATTGCTTTTATTAAAGTGAAATTATAAAAAAATCACCATTTTGAAAGTTTAAAGTAGACAAAAATTTGACCTTCAGCCAACAGGTTTAGTGGTTATAGAGTCAAGCCATTCAGTGAGATAAACAATAAAATCACCAATTATTGCAATGGCAATACTGTGAACATTTCTGAGGTAAACAAAACGACAAATTTTGTTAAAATGCAATTAAGAGATGGTTTAAAAAATCTTGAATGAATTTTTAGTAATATAAAAAATTTATTAATGTTATTTATAATATTACAAAAGTTGTATGATACATTATTTTTAATATTAAATTATATGATATTAACAAATGATAAATAATAATGTATATTGTTGATTGACTTTATTTGATAGTTACATTCTTACGAAAATGGTTTTCCAAAAAACCAAATTTGGTTTTACGGCTTGTCCCAATAAATGAAACAAATTTGAACATCTAGAAAACCATTTTTTTTTGGTTTTTCAGAAAACCAAAGTAATTGGGATTTCTAGAAAACCAATTTTAATATCCAGATAATCAAATTTTGTTGGTTTTCTAGAAAACTGACGCTTTTTGGTTTCTGGATAATCAAAATTGGTTCGTTTATTGGGACAAGCCGTAAAACCAAAAACTGGTTTTCCAGCAATAATGATTAAAATGAAGTTATATGTTGTAATGTTTAAAACGAAACATTTATGATTATTTTACTAAACTTAGCTACAAGAGTTTTGTAGAATAGAAATAATCGGCCAGAGATTACAATTTATTACAAAAATTAAAGTTTATTAATTTTTTACCATATTTATATACACTTTTCATATCTATTTATATAAATTATATATAAATAGTAATCTATATAGAAGGATTTATGTACTATGAAGCATAATTTTATATCAGTTAAAAATAATATCAGTTAAAAAAGTATCAATAATATCAGTTAAAAAAGTAAAAATTCTCTATAAAAACAACTAAAAAGTGGAGAGTTCAAAAAAATAAACTTGATTTAAAAAAACATTTTGAAACAAATTAATAACATCAATATATTATTGAATTTTATAATTTAATATTATAAGTTCAAAAAACTCGCAATTTTTTGAATGTTGTCAGGAAGTTTACTACTTCGTTCGAAAATGTTTTAAAGACAGGGTTTTTTTGTAGTTTCTACGGATACGCAATATCAAAAATATAATATGAACAGATGGCGAGACCCAAACCATAAGATGCACCAGGAAAAGAATTGCTTAGTGTCAGCCTGTCAACTACAAGACTTATTTGTGTTGGATTTATAGCATCTCCTTCAATTTTCAGAGCAAGGGTTGATCTTAATAAATAGAAGCATATAATTAATAAATATTAAAAACAACATTAGTTAACTTTATAAGTATATTTAATTATATAAATAAATATATAAATAAAATATATGCAAATAATTAGAATAAAAATATATAAATGTTAAAAATATTAAAATAAATATTGCATTGAAATAAGCATTGAGTTTTTAAGTAATAAAAATTGAACTGAATAATTTTTTCCATTAATTTTTATTTTAAATAAGTTATTTAATTAAATAAATGAAAAAATATCCTTGAATTCCACCCTAATATTGCAAGGACTTTTCTAAAAAATTTGGGGAGTGGTACCCTGGAGCAGCATGAATATATTATTTAGCTGACCAAAAATAATATTTGCAGACTTTGAAAAAAACAACACAGACAATAAAAAAGTTTAATAAACACAGAAAAATTTTGATCTTCCCACGCCAAGACAGTAAATATACCTTTAAAAATGCAACTAATTGTCTTACAGGATTCGTAGCCAAATATTTATATAAAATTCCATGACTTTCCCCTAACCATTTTGAGAAATCAGACAAATTTCCCTGACTATTTTCAACAATAGTTTTTGTAAAATGTTTGAAATTA